AAAAAAAAAAAAAAAAAGAGTAAAGTCCCTTTGGGCCCTTTGTCCAGAAAAGAGAAAGCATTCCGCTGTAGTTCTAACGGAAAATCTAACAAAAATATACACAGGAGCACCAGTTAAGAGACTTTTTAGAGCAGCACCGTGCCTCTGTTTTAGGCTGAGCTGGTGCTCTGACCCCCCCCTCCCCTTTATAACACCCTAGCATCCCATCCCCTGGTCATCCTGTCTCAAGTCCCCCTAGGCAGACCCTGGAGCTCTGGGGCTAGAGACCATGGTGGCTGTAGCCTTTCAATAACCAACCATCTCACTGTGGTTCTTTGCCAACAGCTCAATCTTGTCCCCTAATTATTGGTGATAAAAGCACCACATTAATTGTATAATTAATTTATAGCAATTAATGATTGACTTGGCTAATCACAGCGTTAATCACTGTTTAGTGGGGGACACTGGGGGCTCTTCAATCTCAAACGCTCACACTCAAATCCACTCCAGCAGACGACAACAAGAGGTCATGTTCAAGTTTCAAAGGAGAAAAACCACAGAGTTGGACAGTGGAAATGGCGGTCCATTAGCGGACGCTTGGCTTCGAGGAGCCTTCCCATGCTGCCCCGCCCCACCCCCACCTACCGGCCTGCGCACTGACTAAACATGACCCTGCTTTTCAACGGCATACATACATACATACATACATACATACATACATACATACATACAGCAGACACACACACACACACACACGCCACTGCTCAGCCCTGTGGAGTTGACCATATCTCACAGACAGGACCCCAGGCCTTCATAACTAAGTCCCATGACCAATGGTTACTCAGTAGCTAATGGCCTTCCTAACTTCACACCCAGAGCCCTTCCTTTCCAATGTCCACAACCTGCTTTTGCTGAAGTTTGTTTTATCGAATGTGTGCGCACGGAGCACACAAACATGTCAAGGTGCGCATGTGGCGGTCAGAGTTGGTTTTCTCCTTCTGTTGGGGGAGAGGGGGTCCAGGGATGGAACTCAGGTCAACAGGATCGCTGGGCAAGTGTTTCACTGGCAGAGTCATTTTGCTGGTCCACGACAGGGCACACTCCCAGCAGACGATCCAGGTCATTCTGAACATGCTGGTCCGAGCTGGGTTGCCATTTTCACTGTACAACTTTGGAATCTACTCCTTATGCTTGGGTCAGTGACCATAAACCAGATCAAGTGCTTAACTAAGAAGCCCATTCCTGGCTGGGCGGTGGTGGTGCACACCATTAATCCCAGCACTTGGGAAGTAGAGGATCAGGCGGATCTCAGTGAGTTCGAGACCAACCTGCTCTCCTGCTCTACAGAGTGAGTTCCAGGAGAGCCAGGACCCACACAGAGAAACCCATACCTGCCCTAGGTTTAGGAAAGCAGGATACGGTTCTCAGTCTGCCTGTGTACTTCTGTACCCTGCCTGAGCTTATTCAGCCTAAGCGTCTGAGCCTGCAGAATGGCAGAAGTGGAGGAGTAGCCGTGTACTCGCTTTCAGAGTGAGCGCGAGAATCGGGCATGCTTCTGTCGGGAAAGCGGTCTTGGCACACAGGGAACCCAATGGCAACTGGGATGGAGCATCAACAACTGTGACTGGCGGTGGCCACAGAAGCCCTGCCCATCTAGCTAGGAAGAAAAAAGTACCTGGGCACCGTCTGTGCCAGGAAGGTCAGATGGGAAGCCTCCAGGTTTAGCCAGTTTCAGAGTCAGACTGCCCGTGATAAATTCTTTCAGGGCTAATCTTGTTCCTTCCCAGCCACATGTGGCTACTTTGTATTCATTAAAATGAAACAAAACTTAAATGTTACTGCCTCTGAGTACAAGCTCAATACAGACATTGGACAGTCTGGTCACCACACAAGTTCCTGCAATGTTATTTTGACAACAGGCATCCTGATAGCCCAAGGACAGTGTCATGGACCCTGATAACAAAAGCTTCCCCTAAACTTGTGGTCCTTGGAACTCTGACCAGTGCCTCACAGGAGCTCAGGGACGAAACTACTGGTCCCTGTCTGACCGACCACATGTGGATTTCGTTTTAGGGCCATCCACAAAGGAAATCGCCAGTCCTGAGCCCATAAAAAGCAACAGACGACAACAAAAAAATCTTCAAGATTATCCATTCCTACACAAAACCCCAAACTACAAAATCAATAGATAGGGAAGATGCCACTATCCAGACCCCTCTGAAACATTAGTCTGCATCAGCAGCAGTCAGTCACTGGTCATCAGCAAACTGGGAAATCATTGTTTACTTGTTTGCGGGGAGGAAGCGGACCCCAGCATGCTCAATCAGATTGCAACAGCTCGATTTAGGAAACAAACGAAAGACATGCAGACTTTTTTTTTTTTTTTTTTGATTTTTGAGACAGGGTTTCTCTGTGGTTTTGGAGCCTGTCCTGGAACTAGCTCTTGTAGACCAGGCTGGTCTCAAACTCACAGAGATCCGCCTGCCTCTGCCTCCCCAGACTTTTTTTTTTAATTAAAAATTTTTTTTTTTCTTCAAAATACTAAGCACCCAAAATGACGGTTTCAGTTGCTGGCACCTGTATCTATTCCAAGATCAAATTAGCTCCAAGTGCTTCAGGAAAGCCTGCCATTACAAACTCTGAAGCCACGGACAGAGCTATGCTTCGGTCAGAGGAGGGTCATTTGAAGGTGTCAGCAAGGAAGCCCACCTTCTTCCTTTGCTTCTGTGCATCTGGCAAGGTGTGCCCTGAGTCACTGTTCCTCCGTGTCTTCTGGAGGCAAAGAGTGAGAGGTGGGCCCGTTGCGTGGATGAATGCGGACAGGAGAGCCTTGTTAGGGACATGAACTCTATGGTTCTTGTTTTACACCCTTTAGTGGCCTCCTGGTTGCTGAGCATGTCCGCTGGCGCTAAGATGGAAGATGGTGTTCACTCGGAATCATACACACCAGACCAGTTTAATCGAACTGACCGACCTCAACAAGCCTGCTCTATACAGGTTGCACGGATGTGAAAAGCACACCCGAAGCCAGCAGTGCAGGGTGCTGCACATAGTAGGAGCTTTGCAACAAACCATTCTTTTATAATGTGTTCAGCACCCACATGGGATGCAAGAAACACACAGCAAATATCAGTGACCAGGCGTGGCTGTATGCTGCATCTGCTACCTTTTCAAAAAGTCTTAGAAGCTACCACCGTGGGTCGTTGGTTTCATGTTCAAGTGGAGAAAGCCAAGAGAAATGGCTACTGGTCTGCATCGGGTTTGACTGACTGGTAAACAAACTCCAGACACAAAGCTGACCGTGCTCCTGGCTTCCTTCTGAGCTTCCTGTATTAGGACAACACGACATTGGGAACTACTCTTAACCTCTCTCATTTAAATAGGAAGGCATGAAGAGGTTAAGAGACCCAGTACTGTCACCCTGCAAAGGACAGGGTTGTGACCAGAAACCAAGCACCCAGATCATGCGAACACCCAGGTGACCTTGAAGGTCACCGGAGCCTTTAGAGTGTGTTGGCAAAATGTGCTCCCCTTGGGGCACACAATGCTTGGTGACTGTATACACTGCCTATTTCTATTTCTCACCTCAACAGTTTAGGCAAAACCAGGGACTTAACACAGGTAGAAACACCTCTCCCTGCGTCCAAGGGGACCTCGCTCACTGATGGCCGCCCTTTCCTCCTTGGCTCTCCCTCAAACCTTCCCAGGGAATCTAACCCTGACCCTCAGTGATATGGCAAGATCCAGCTCGAAACTCCACAGAGCCTACTTTAAAAAGAGGACTCTGAGCCACAGGGACAGTGAAATCCACCTGGTGCACCCCTCTGCTCAGCCTGTGCCCTGTCCTCTGCTCCCTCAGGGAGCTTCCCCCTCCCTACGCCTGTCCCCGCTGTCTGGAAGCCTCCCAAACTTTACTTTTCTAGGCCACACAGCCCTGACTTCCGCAGGCTCGTCACAGAGGCAGGACTTCTCGGCCGTCAGTCATTTTCATTGCTCTCCTCTGGCCTCTCTCCAAGATTCTGTATCTTGTTTAAATAATGAAGGCCAACCCCCCAACCCTCAATATGATTTAAGAACAGTCTTGCCTAGAAAAGTAACAAAGGCCTAACCAATACAGACTCGAGAAGGTAAATATTTTTCTTTAAAAAAAAAAAATCAAAGAATTATAATACTGAGCATGGTGGTGAGAATTAGGTTGACCAAACAGAATAATTTCTGGTGCTTGTCGCAGCATTTCCTGTTAGCATCGTGACGGTGTCTGCGGGACTTATCTGCCCAGTAAATCCTCTCAGAAATGACTCGGCGCCTCCTCCGAACCCCCGCGCTTTTCTTCTGTCTCAGCTCTTCTCAGGATAGAGATCCTGCCATCTTGAGAAATGGCCGTTCTCCTTTCTTGGCACTGGCTTTTCCAGAAATAGCACTTCCTGCCCTGGCTCCTTCAATTTGTTCTGCTTTTGCTAAAATGTTCCCCTGCCAGACTACACCGCTGTCCCTCTGTGAAGGGGAATGCTGGGAAGAGTGTGCAGGCCCTTCTCAGGTCCCCAGATGGAGAACGGTGCCCACCCTCCGCTGCCTCTGGTAAGCTTGAGGCTGAGAATCAGGGGTGACCTCAACCAAGATGTCTTTGATGGGCCTTCAACAGAAGGAGGAGGACAAGAAGCACAAGGCGACAACGCTGAGCAGCTGCCCAAGAAAACGGCAGATGCCCGGTGCTCGATAAGAAGGTGCTTAGAAAAGAATATGGGAAAGAGAAAGGAAAACAGGGAATGAGGATGTTTGCCTTTAACCCTGGCAAAGGCAGGGGGATCTCTGCGAGTTCAAGGCTAGCCTGGTCTTTACAGCGAGTGAGATCCTGACTCAAAGAAGAAAGAACAAAAGGGGGGGGGCCTAACAAAACTCCCTCTCTGGCGTGCTTAGAGCGCATACTTTGGAAGATGAGCTGAGGGGTGGGTCTGTTTCCCGACACAGCTTCCTTTCTCCCAGGGAGAAGGTCTGAGGCCAAGGACGGCCATGCATACTACCTGCCCGCTTGTTCTGGACCTCCTCGCTGCCGCTCCCCTGGTCTTTGGCCAGCTCCTCTGGGTCAGCGGGTGCTTCACTGGGTCCTTCGGCATCTTCAACGGCTTCTTCTGAAATACAGAAAAGCAGAGATGTCAAGGATAAAAAGCTGGGAAGGTGATGAAGGACTCACTCCTCACTCCACAAAGCACAGATGTTGGTGACTCTGCCCTTCTTGTCTCCCCTGTGGCCCAGTGGGGCCGAGGGTGTGTCCAGGGACAGAGCAGCAGTGAGGGCTGACTGGTGCTAGATGTGTGCCAGAAACTTCCAGATAGACTCCGAGGGCCGCGCCTGAGCTCTCTCCAAGCGAAGCGGTCACTTACTGAACTCTGGCTGGAGACTAGATCAGACCGGGTGGCCGAGTCCCCCCTGGCCTGGCAGTGTCTATACATGTGCCAGGCGGTGACAGGAGCTCCCGCAGTCACTTACGTTCTGAAGAGTCACAGAACATCAGTGATATGTTTTACTGGTATAGGATATTCTAGAAGCCTGATGGGAGAGGCAAAGGGGAAAGAACGCACAGTGGAATGGCCACTGCCCAAGGCAAGAAGAGAAGACTGTAGTGATGGGATTTGGTCCCTGGCCTCCTGACCACTGGATCACCAACCATAGCAGGCTCTTAATGGGAGTGAGTTGAGAGGAAGACTCAAGGCTGGAGGATAGCTCAGCACTCTGCAAACCTGGTGGGTTGAGTGTGAGCCCCAGATTCTCCATAAAGATAGGAGGAGAGAACCAAGCCCATAGAACTGATCCCTAACCTCCATACATGTGCTCTGGCGCAGGTGCCCACACAGGTACACTACACTACACACACAAACACACACATACACACAGGTGCCTACACAGGTACATTATACACACACACACACACACACACCTCATTTTTTTTTAAAGACTAAAGCAAACAGTCAAGGCAAAAATCTCTTGAAGTGATGAAGAAACTGCCATGCAACTCTCTGGGTTCAGAAGATGAGAACACATACTCCTACCCCATCACAAGAAGCTCGGACCAGACTCAACGGGAGCCAAGACCAGGACACAACCTAGGAACTGGGGTTCTAGCCAGTGCCACCATCAGATTCTCCAACCACAGCCTGCTTTGTCGGTTGCTTTGTTTTGGAGACAAGGTCTCACACGGTGGCCCAGGCTGGCCTCAGACCCACCTTTAAATAATTCAGGTGTTATACTTCCCGCCCCCCCCCCCCCCCAGAACTGGCCTCTAAGTTCTATCCCACAGGAGGAGGGAACAGTCATCACAACTCGTCTTTATGGGTTTCCAAAACACTCAAGGCCAGGATTGTTCTAGAACTGTTTTCCTAAATCTTCTAGAAAGATGACAGCGTATCGATGGCTAGAAAAACAAACTCTGAAGAAGAATGGCCTTTCTTCCTTACCAACAGCAGAGAGCCCCAGAGACAACACCATGTGAACTGCTTATCCAACATCACCTCGGGGCTCTCTCTATTTTTCCTGTGGTCTTTGTTGGCTCACTGCACAGAAAAGTTAGCGGTGTCTCCTGACCTTACCTTTAAGTTCAAATAGACAAAAATCAGGCATTCGCGGCTTGACATTCAATAGATATACCACTCAACATCAACACCATACAGTCTTGTCGAGAAACAAACAAACAAACAAACAAACAAACAAACAGCTTAAATATGAGAGGGCAAAACAAGTAAGCTGTACCAAAAGATACATGTGCCATCTTGTGTCCAGGCAAAATGTTCTCTACACATTGATAGGATGGTTATAAAATTCATCTTTAATGGCAATACCAGCAATAAGTTAACCAGTACTAAACTGGGCATATGCACACTCGCTAGGCATCTTAAATATGTTCCGTGGCATAAATCATTCACAGGATTGAAAGATTCACTTCATGGGATTGGGCAGAGCTGGCCCAATGGGCGCATTGTCACCTCAGATGGAAACAGGCCGGCTCTCACAATGGACAGCTCCCCATACAGTGAGAAACCATGTACCTTTACTTCAGGAGGTGATTATTATTATTATTATTATTATTATTATTATTGATTTTTGTTCAAGATGTAAATCCACTCAAGTTTCTAGGCTTCGTTTTATCATCTGTGCTTAAGAGAATGCTGTCTGTGTGCTCTAGGAAGAACGATTAAGGAACTTAGGAACAAGCCAGATCCTCTTACAGGGGACTAGCAACCTCACCCCAGTTTAAAAAATAACAACAACAACAAAATAAGAAACAGGTCTCCTTTAGTCACAGGAGTCTCTGCAGTTCCACCTGTGACCTACAGGTGTCGCCTTCTGCATGGCAAGGCCCAGGAGGGCAGCTGGCTGGGAGACAAGTCTGGGCTGCCTAACCTGAGCATGTGGAAGTAATACACGTCTCTAAGCGAATGGCCTAGTCCTGGGGAAATAGAATAGAACATTCATAAGCAGTTACACCATCTGTCTTCATACCATCGTCATCAACAGAGAGAGGGTAAAGGCTCTTTAACATGGATGAAAGCCCAGGCTGACACTGACCGGAAACCTGTGAGAGCTGAATACCAATAAAGGTAGAGAAATGATTAAAAAACAGGGATACCAACTGCAAATCTGTCTGGACAGCCCAGGCTCCTGATGCTTTGCAGACAGGGTGTGTCTTTACTGGTCCCAGGAGTGTTTTTTTAATGCAAGTTTTTCTAATCAAAGGCCTGGCTTGGGCACCCACAGGGAAGGGCTGGTCGGTCTCCAGGCCCCTGGACATGAGTGTTGGGCAAGGGTGCAGGAGCCTCTGGGTCTGGACCAGAGCCTGCCCGCTGAGCTGGGGCCGCCTGTTAGTTCCTCATGTACTGACAGGGTGTGGAACGGAGGGGCAGTTTTCCTACAGATCATCCCGACCCTGTACGGTGGCAACTGGCCGGGGGCATCGCAGAGGCCATGTTTCTGGTTTTCCTTCTGTAACATCAGCTATAGAGAGATGGCGGGAATGACTGGAGGCATGGGCTGGAGACAGGTTTTATCTGGAAAATCCTGTCCATTGCTCCGAGGAAGACGTTGCTCTCCTCCAACCAACACTCACAACAGCCACCATGAAGCTCAAGCAGACACAACACTCTTTCCCTGGGAGCATTAAGGAAAGGATGGCACATCCTAAATGCGGCACAGCAGAAATGCGGGTCCAAGGCATCCAGACCACTCTGGTTTAAAAAGATACCAGAGGTGGGGCAGCTACAATCCTGCAGGAGCCCAGCTTCATGGTCGTGCCCACCTGGGCCCTCAAGTTAGAGTACTCCCACCTGCCTGCCTTCACTGTCAATGTGAAACCGAGAAGGGGAGACTTTGATCATATAGTCTCTGGCCTCCACTTCCCCAGGGTTGCGATAGTAAACAAGATGAAGCCAAGGGCTTCACGCCTGCTAGGCGGACACTTGACCAGCGGGAGCTCCACTGTGGCCCAAAAGCGAAGGAAATCTTGAAAACTAACACAGCCTTCCAGTGGTACTCTCTGCCTCTCTTTCACTGCCACATAAGACATGGCCTACGGCCTCGGAGCAAACTAGAAGCCTGTTTGCTTTGTTCGTTTTTGTTTTCTAGACAAGGTTTCTCTGTGTAGCTCTCTCAGTGCTGGATCTCGCTCTGTCGGCCAAGCCGGCCTCGAACTCAAAGAGATGATCATCTGCCTCCGCCTCCCGCGCTGAGATTAAGGGTGTACGCTACCATTACCCAGAAGAAACCTATGACTTGATGGCCTCTTTCTGACAAATCCCAGGCCCTCCTTCTCAGGGTGGAGCCGGGCAAGCCAGCTCCAATCACTCTCAACTTCCCATGGCAGCGAAGCCCTCCTGGCCCACGAATCCCAGCAAACAGATGGACCCTCAAAGAGGCACGGACCTAGAAAAATCTCACACAAATGCTCTCTCTAGCCCCTGACCATTGGCCTCCTGACCAAGGTGGCCCGAGATTCTCCTCCTGTGACCTCTCCAGAGGAAGGAACCTGTGTCAGCTGCTAACCCTGGGGATATGGAGGAGTTTGGGGAGCAACCTGGAAGCTGGTGCGTGCAAGGAGTGTGAGCTAGAAGCCAAACCCAGAAAACAGCGTCATTATGAGGTTAGCATTCCACCACGGCACACGCTTCCCAGATAGTTCACCCACGAGAGCATTTGGGTTAAAAAAAAAAAAAAAACCATTCCCCCCCCCCCCAAAGAATGGGTCTAGTGACGTGTCCACTGGGGGTATTTTACACATCGCTTACAGGCTTGAAGGAAAGGGGAGCCAATCAATGATTATAACTAATCCCTCTGTTCCTACCTCTTAACAGGATAATGTAGATTAATTCAAACCTGACAAAGCCCCCACAGTGCCTTGATATGATAGAAATTTGGAAATTCTCCTAAGAATCAGGGTGTCTGTACCCAAGGCTCTCACACGAACATGTTACTTAAATAACACACCAATCTGTGATCCCCGAAGAATGAAATTGTTCCTTCTCTTTTACGGGGTGGGGGGGGAGATGGGGGGATGTTTGGGGGGGCGGAGGGGGATAAAGTGAGTTTGCCTGTCGGCGGGCTCAAGAGCTGAGAAACATTAGCTGTCACGAGCCACAATCAAATCAGGTTTGAAATATTTAGCAGTGGCTCGGAAAATGCGCTGGTGCGGCGCTGACAGGCGAGGTGTGCAGACGCCCGCTCTCCATTATAATGGAAATACCAGGCCCGTTCTGAATATGTATAACCCAGAAAAATGTATTGATTTTTCATTCGGCATTAAAAAAAATGAAATAGCCTGCAGCTGTCAAAAGCCTTTTGTTAAAAGCCTGTCCTTCCTGGAATGAGGTTTACCAGAAACAAGTTTTAATTGTATATGGGACCTCTTCTTTGAAAAAACAAAATAACCAATCTGCTTACTTTGAAGGCAGGGTTAAGGCTTTTTTGCCTTGCTGCCTTCCTCCCGTCTGCAACCTAAATTAACAGAAGGAACGGCCACCTAGGCAGGTGGGAAGCACCACGCACTCTGACCAGCGGAAGTGACCCGCGCGCCGAGGGTGGCAGTTACGGGGGACGGTTGGTTGGTGGTGGGTAGCAGGAGGGACTTGAGCTATGCTTTGTCCTC